ACAATCAGACACAAATCATAGCACAAGAGGAGCCAACATGATTGCTAGGACAAGTTAATTTAATACAGACAGAAGCCTTCCTCATAGTCAACAGTGTGGGAAGACATTTCACCGAATGAATTTTATTTCATCCGGATATATGTGCAAAAAGGATACAAGCGAGTAATCTGCACGAGGGGTCCTATAAGCAGGAATCATCTTCGTTCCTCATGTCTCCTTGATGAACCACACCGTCTGACCCCTGCGGGAGTTCAGGGCCTCTGCCCTCTCCTGCCCCTGGCTGCCTGCAGCTGGGCTCCACAGACAGGCTCAGCAGTTCCTCATTCTCTTTTGCCTCGATGAGCCTGGAGATACCGAAGGACTTGCTCATATCTCATCTCTGCCTTAAGGCTTTCCCAGATTTCCCGGAGTAAACATGGCCCTACTTCTATTACGTTCTAGTATTTTACTCCTGTTGTTATTCTATTACTATACTAAGCGTGGGTTGTATAACTGTGTGTGTGTATGTGTGTGTGTGCATGTGTGTGCAAATTCCCACTTAATCGTTTATTTGTCTTGATTTGGGTATGACATATTTGTTTTTTACACATATCGAATATTAAAGCCAGGCATGTTTGTTGGTACACATCTATAATCTTAGCACTTGGGAGGCTGAGGCAGGAGGACTGCCTTGAATTCAAGGCCAGCCTGGGGTACATAGTGAGTTCAAGGCCAGCCTGAATCACAAAGCGAGACCCTGTCACACACACAAAAAAAATTGTGACATCATCTGAGATTAATTAAATGGGTCTTTCTTCCCCCCAACTCTTCCCAACATAACCCTTTCATCTCATAGTGTTATTTTCGCTGTTAGCTTTTCTAAAACTAAAGTAAAACCTATGAGCTGAGAAGCTTATTCCAGAAGCACCGTCACCTCAGTCTTACTCAACTGTCCTCCAGAAAACATCTGTGAGAAAACCCTTCCAATTCTGTACCGCTTTTCTTATCTACAGCAATGACTCAGAAGTGACTCACTTAGAACTTCTCCTCTGAGATCAATAGTGGAGGAGACCATGAGGCTCTCTTTAGGAAACAGAAAAAGAGAGAACTCAGCAAGTTGCCTGAACGCACTGCATAACTTCATTGTGGCTAAGTCGGGGACCAGCAGGCTGAGCAGAGACCTACAGCTTGCCGTGGAAGCCTTCAGCTTTATCTCCAACTTTCGGTAAGAAAAATTAAACTGACCTGATGACTTGTGCTTAGCCTGCTTTGCTCATTATAGATAAAATTTGCAGGGTGATTGTCTTCTACCTATTTCCCCAATTCCATCCCCAACTTTCAGCTTTCTTGTCTTATCCTCATATTCACCTTTCCAGTTCTAAAAATTTGAACTTCTAATTGTCTTTGCCTTTAATAGCTTCATTCTGGAAATGACAATGAATTTTATGTCATTTTTCTGTTCTCTTAGAGTGACAATGTTTATCCTTCTTTTTCTTGAGTTTTGCTTTCCCTACCAGCTTTGGTTTTTGAATCACGGATTTCCTACACACACATACACATATATAAATGTCCACTCTACTTCCTCTTTTTCTTCTGTCCTTTACCCATTTCTTATCACTACTGCCTTCCTTGTCCTATTATTTATTATTCGATTCTACAGTCTATTTTTTTGTTTATCATACATAAATTTTAGTTTTAATTTTATTTACTTTTTAAAATAATGCTGGCCAATTTAGTATTGAAGTCTTTTTTAAAGTATCTACTAATCTTCAAACATAGAGGTATTTTTAAGCCCAACTTGGAGAAATATAAAGTAATCTTGCTCTGAAGGATTTGTAGTAGGTGCTGTGCTACTGAGCTATATCCCCAGCCCTATTTTTTACATTTTACAATAAATAATATCGATATTTAAAATATAGCTCATGGAAATGGAAGAATATTTCACATAAAAATGTGTACAGTAATTCACAACAGCCAAAGAAGGAAAACAACGCAAATGCTCACCAAGATAAAATATGGTATATCCACACAATGGGTATTATTTTTCAAAAGAACGAAGTACTGGTATGTGGTGTAACATGGATAATCCTTGAAAACATTATTGTAAGAGTCCAAGGATAAAAGACATCATAATATATAATGCCACTTATATAAACTTCTTACAGTAGGCAAACCCATAAATAGAAAGTAGTTTAGGATTTGCCTGGGGCTGGGGAGTGTTGATGATGGGGAAGGCTGTTAATGGATACAAGGTTTTTGTTGTTTCAATAAAAACTCTGTATTGAAAGTGTTCTCAAGTTGATTGTGATGACAGTTGCTCAACTCTGTGAATTTACTGACAATCACTGAATTTCATGCTTTAAATAGGTTAATTGGGCCAGGCGTGGTGGCACACGCCTGTAATCCCAGCACTTGGGAAGCTAAAGCAGGAGGATTGTTGCAAGCTCGAGACTAGCCTGGGCTACAAAGTGAGCTCAAGGCCAGCCTGAACTGCGTTGCGAGACCCTGTCTCGAAAAGACAATAAATAAATAAATAAATAGGTTAATTGTATTCTTTGTGATTTATATATCAATAAAGCTGTTATAAGAACATGGTAAAAAAAACAAAATAAAATAAAATATAGCTCATGACAGATAATTCCATTTCTCTTACATCAGAATTTTGTTCTTTTCAGCCTTTACTATTTCAATTTGGACAGTACCCTTTGTTAGCAACGCTGCACATTTTTCCATTGTCTGATCTTTGCAGTAAAAAGAGCATTAGCTCCAGGCATGGTGGCACACACCTGTGATCCCAGCTCTTGGAGGCTAAGCCAGGAGAAACCCCATGAGTTTGAGGCCAGCCTGGGCTGCATAGTGAGTTCAAGACCAGACTGAACTACATAGCAAGATCTTATGTCAAGAAAAAAGAAAAAAAGAAAAGAGTATTGGCTTAGAGGCCAAGGATATAGTTTAGCAGCAGAATGCCTGCCTGGCAAGCATGAGGTCCTGAGTTTGATTCCCAGTACTCCCTGCCCCGAAAAAGAGGACTGGCTTGGTAGTCATTGGACTTAGTATCTTAATCTCCTTAGTTGTGATTTGTTTGCTTGTTTGTTTGGTTTTGGTTTTTTTTCCGGTATCAGGAATTGAACTCATGACCTTGCACTTGCCAGGCAGGCGCTGTGCCACTGAGCTAAATCCCCAGCCCCCTTAGTTGTGATTTTGTAAAAGTCTAACTTCAGTATTAAAAGCTGCAGAGTAAAAGTAGTGAGCAAAGAGGTGATTACGTTTTTGTTTTTGCTTTGCGGAACTGGGTGTTGAACCCAGGGTCCTTGAACTGAGCTCTATTCCCACAGGGTTTCACTAAGCTACGCAGCCTGGGATGGAATTTGCAGTCTTCCTTCCTCAGCCTCCCGGCGTGCTGGGATTATAGGCTAAATTTTCTAATCTTTTCTTTTTCTCTTTTCTCTTCTCTTCTCTTCTTCTTTTTTAGGCTGTTTTCTTTCAGTCAGTCCTAGCAATCCATGATGCTACCATTCTCTCAATATTTTATGGTTTTGCATGAATCTGTGGGGTAGAATGGGATGAGGGATCGGGGTAGCTGTCATTCACTGTAGGGAAAGAAGGGACCGGCCAGGACTTGAATGTTTGAGTAGCAGCATCCACAGAAAAGAGAATGAAGATCATTTCTCCTTTCTTTTTTTGCTGACTTGTTATTTTTAACTTCTGCTAATTGTGTAAGGCCCTGTGACAACATCTGTTTAACTCAGCGGAACTATTTTCAAACACTGTGGGCCTCTACAAAAAGAAAGATAGTGCTTTTGTATGATGAAGAACTGGAAATTTAAAAAGGAAGTTAGAGTCAGGCATGGTCATGCATGCCTGTAACCCCAGCACTGGGGAGGCTGAGGCAAGAGGATTGTCACAAGTTTGAGGCCATCCTGGGCTACATAGTGAGTTCAGGGACAGCCTGAACTATACAGTGAGACCCTCTCTCAAAAAAAAAAAAAAAAAGAAAGAAAGAAAGATAGTGCTCTTGTATGATGAACAACTGGAAATTTAAAAAGGAATTTAGAGCCAGGCGTGGTGGTGCATGCCTGGAATCCCAGCACTTGGGAGGCTGAGGTAGGAGGATTCCTGTGAGTTTGAGGCCAGCCTGAATAGCAAGGCTGTCTCAAAAAACAAAAAACAAAAAACAAAAGGAAAGGACAGCAAAGGAATTAAGGAAAGAGTTTTGGTAAAGGTTAAAGGGTTAGCTGGGCATGATGGTGCATGCCTGTAATCCCAGCACTCGGGAGGCTGAGGCAGGAGGATCGTTGAGAGTTTGAGACCAGCCTGGGCTACAAAGTGAGCTGAAGGCCAGCCTGAACTGCATTGCGAGACCCTGTCTCAGAAAGACAAAACAGAAAAACAAATAGTAAACCTCAACAGTGAGCATCTATCCATTCAAGTTTTCTTTAGCCTTTATGTCATTATAGGGTACCTAGCTAAATTCTGTGAAATGATCACTTATGAACAAGGCTCATTTTTACCATTGTGAAATTTAAGGTAGAATGATAGATAAAACAGCCACAATGACAATTATAAAATAATATAAAACAAGAAGTGCCATTGCAAAGCAAATATCAGGGAAAAGACCCAAATACACAATTAAGAGGCTGAAGGATTAATTTCTGAGTAGAGTTATAAGAGAATATTTCAAGGTAGGTATAATATTTGAGCTTGACCTTAAAGAACAAGTAGAATTTCACCAGGTATAGATTAAGAAAAAAAGTTGCTAAAATGAGCCAGGTTTGGTGGCACATACCTGTAATCCCAGCACTTGAGAGGCTGAGGCAGGAAGATGACTGTGAGTTCAAGACCAGCCTGGGCTACAAAGTAAGTTCAAAGCCAGCCTGAACTACATAGTGAAAGCCTGTCTCAAAAAGATGAAAGAAAGAAAGAAAGAAGAAAGAAAGAAAGAAAGAAAGAAAGAAAGAAAGAAAGAAAGAAAGAAAGAAAGAAAGAAAGAAAGAAAAAGTTAAAATAAAGGGAAGAATTCCTGATAGAGGTAAACAGCACCCACCAAGGAACAGAAAATATCAGGAACTGGGAAGGACGAGTGGTTCAGGGAAGTGGGAGTGTCCAGAATTAGGGGAAGGAAATGTCACAGAACCCAGAGAACAGCCTGTAAAGGACTCGGCGTATCAAATGACACATCATACATTGCAGAGGATGGAGCCACAGAAACAGAAGTCTGGGTATGTTTCCTACAAGAAACTTCAGCAGAGCAATGGGGACAGAAGACAGATGACAAAGGGTAGGAAGCGAGCAGTCAGAACAGCAGGCTCGGAAAAAGGTAACATTCTTGCAGAAGGAAAGCTATGTTAAATCAAGACGCTTGCTGGATAGATCTTGAGAGACTTATGAGGCACAACACGCTGAGACAAAGCAGGATGCCAGGCGGGATACCAGCGTGGACAAACCAGCTGTAAAAGGTATCTGGGGGAGTGGAAGGTAACTGGATAATCTTAGTGTGCAATGGGAGTGCTAACAGAAAACAGAACAAAAGAAATAAAACAGGGCCAGGGATATAGCTCAGCAGTACAAGCGTCTGCCTGGCAAGCGCAAGGTCCTGAATTCGATTCCCGGTACCAAAAAAAAAAAAAAAAGAAAGAAAGAAAACAATATGCATTGACTCCCATTTCAAAGATGCACCGTTCACAGCAGCCCACAGGTGAAAACAATCTAAACACCCACTGAGAAAGGATTAGATCGGCAACACATGGCAGATGTGTGCAACGCAACATTAGCCTTAGAAAGGAAAGAAGTTCTGGCACACTCTCCAACGTGGTGGACGTTATGCTAGCTGAGAAACAGCCAAATACAAGACAACAGAGACTGTATGAGTTGGTGTTCATGAAATACATGGGCAAATTCATAGAAACACAGAGTAGAATGGTGGTTGCCAGGAGGTGCCGGGAGAAGAAAACTAAGAAAACCAAGAATTGTTTCATGAGTAAAAAGTTTCCATTTTGCAAAGGTTTCTGTAGTGTAGTGGTTATCATGTTTGCCTCACAAAGTTTCCATTTTGCAAGATAAAAAATTGAGAAATTAGTTGCACAACAATGTGCACCTAATAGCCAGGCGTGGTGGCGCATGCCTGTAATCCCAGCATTCAGAAGGCTGAGGCAGGAGGATCACTGCAAGTTTGAGGCCAGCCTGGGCTACATAGTGAACTCAAGGCCAGCCTGAACCACATAGCGAGACCCTGTCTCAAAAACAAATTAAAAAATGGTTAAAATGGTAATTTTTAAAAATTAGTTGTTTATTGGTGCATTTTAGGTATACATAATGATCACATTCATCGCAGGGAATTTGTAACTTGATTCTTTTTCCCCCTAAAATGGTAATATTTATGTACCATAAAAATTTTTTTTTAAACAGACATGGTATGATCTAATTTTGTATAACAGGAAATCTACATATGTATACAAACACATATACCTGATAAAAGATTCAGAGATATTAAATTAAGATATTAAAATGGTAATCACTGGTGGTCATGCCCATTTTCATTTTCTTGCTTTGGTTTATCTGTATTTTCCAATTCTCTCTATGCCTATTTTCTGCTTTTGTAATAATAACACTATCTTTCTGTCACTACACTTACAAAATGCAAATAAGAAAAGAAAGACGGTTGATGAAGAGTTGATGCAAAGATCAAAAGCTCTTTAGAGCCAGGTGTGGTGGTGCACACCTGTAATCCCAGCACTCGGGAGGCTGAGGCAGGAGGATCCTTGCGAGTTTGAGACCAGCCTGGGGTACAAAGTGAGCTCAAGGCCAGCCTGAACTGCATGTGGAGACCCTGTCTCAAAAAACAAAAGCAAAAGCTCTTCCGAAATGTGATACAGCTAACAGATGTAACCGAGGCCTGACTCCTTCTTACTGCAGAGGAGTTCTCTGAAAGTCGGCTGGAGAGAATAGACAGATCTTCTGCTCTCAGAAAAATGAAAATATGAAAAGTTTAAATCATTTTAGGTGGTGGTGAAGCTTGAGAAAGCCTTTTCATGACCTCAGGTTGGGGAGCACCAGTCTAGATTTAGTTCATTTGTTTATTTTTTGTGTTCTTTTGTTTTTTGAAACAGCCATCTCACTGTGCAGTTCAGGCTGACCTTGAACTCACTATGCGGCTCCAGGCTGACCTTGAACTCTAGGCAATCCTCGTGCCTCAGCCTCCCGAATGCTGAAATTATAGGCGTGTGCCACCACGCCTGGCTCATACGTTTATTTCTAATAGAGGATATTGACTGAGGAAAAGAGCTGGTAGAAAATGAGAGATTGAAAATACAAGAGAGGAGAGCAATGTACTCTAATTTCAAATGAAGTTATTCTTTTGATACCAACTTAAATCAATGTAAATTTCAAATTGTCTATCAGAGACTGTTTTAGTGCGGTCTCCTATGAAGTCAAGGAGCACAAACTAAAACACCTTTTGGGGCCTTCGAGCTTTGCGATGCCACATCGTTATGGAGGAAAGGTAAAATTCTAAGAACTACACGTTCCTACATAGACACTGTCCACTGTCACATTTTCTTCCATCTTTTTGCAGATATTTAGCCATGGAGTCTTTCTCTGCTGAGACCAACTCAACTGACCTATACTTAGAGCCTCAGTATCAACCCCAAACTATTCTTGCCATGGCCATTCTTGGCCTCACTTTCATCCTGGGGTTGCCGGGCAACGGGCTGGTGCTGTGGGTGGCTGGCCTGAAGATGCGGCGCACCGTAAACACAGTCTGGTTTCTCCACCTCACCCTGGCAGACTTCCTCTGCTGCCTCTCCCTGCCTCTCTCCATGGCTCACTTGGCTCTCCAAGGGTACTGGCCCTATGGCAACATCCTCTGCAAGCTCATCCCCTCCATCATCATCCTCAACATGTTTGCCAGCGTTTTCCTGCTGACTGCTATTAGCCTGGACCGCTGTTTGCTGGTGCTCAAGCCAATCTGGTGCCAGAACCATCGCAGTGTGAGAACCGCCTGCGCTATCTGTGGATGCATTTGGCTGGTGGCTTTTGTCCTGTGCACACCTGTGTTTATGTACCGAGAAACGTCCACTGTGGACAGCCACACCGTGTGTACCTACAATTTTGGCCCCATGCCATTCGACTATTCGGGCGAATATGCCTACGACTCAGATGCACTGGACCACGACACCCCTGACCCCACTATCCAGCTGCCTGGAGAAATGGAGCGTAGCTCGGATCCTTCCGCTTTCCAAACGCATCATCACCCTTGGTCAGTCACCACCCTCGTTCATTCTCCACCATCTCAGCAACCTTCTGAAGATTCATTCCGCATGGGCTCTACGAAATTACCCAGTCAGCTTGAATCCGCTGGTGTGGGCTCAGCCGCAGCCCTCTGTGGGCCTCCTGCGGAAGAGAACGGGACTAACACGTTGAATAACTCTGCTCTTCTTTCCACTGATTTAGACCTCTTCCCCTACGCGTCCCGAAATTGCTTGTCCACACCTGAGCCATCACAAGACTTTGAGGATTATTTAAACCCATTTGCGTATGAACAGCAAGTGCCAATACCTTTGATGGCCATCACCTTCACAAGGCTAGTGGTGGGTTTCCTGCTGCCCACTATCATCATGATGGCCTGCTACGCCCTCATCGTCTTCCGGATGCGACGGATCCGCATTGTCAAGTCTCGGAACAAAGCTTTTCACCTGGCCGTGGTGGTGGTGACTGTCTTTCTTGTCTGCTGGACTCCATACCATGTTTTCGGAGTCCTCACACTGTTTACTGACGTGGGCAGTCCCTTGGGGGAAGCTCTGCTGTCCTGGGACTGTGTGTCCATTGCTCTTGCATCTGCCAATAGCTGCTTCAACCCTTTCCTTTACGCCCTGTTGGGGAGAGATCTTAGAAGGCAAGCGCGACAGTCCATGAAGGGCATTCTGGAAGCAGCCTTCACAGAGGACGTCACAAAGTCTACTAGTTGTACCCAAACCAAAGCCTTTTCAGAAAAAGACAGCTTCAGTACCAATGTGTAAAAATGCAGAGCTGACCTAAAATGTTCCGAGGTAAATATATATATAGAAGAAGGAGGGATATGGTAATCAGAAACTAGTCATCAATCCAGGTGTTCTCAGCCAAGGATTTAGCTCAGGGGCACAGCGCCTGCCTGGCGAGACCAAGGTCCTGAGTTCGATTCCCAACACCAAAAAAAAAAAAAAAATTCAGTTGTTCTCACAGTGTGGGCCTGGACTACAGGCATTAACCTGACCTGGAAAATGTTAGAAATGCAAAAGCTCCATCCCAGCCTTGCTAAATAAAAACCTCTGGCTACTGGGACCTAAGTGTTTAAGGGGCCCTGTTGGTTTTAGTTAAAGTGTGATATTTCCACATATGCATCCAGCATACACTGATCAAACCCAACCCCTGACCTTGCCCCAAACTCCAGTAATCACTGTTCTATTTTGAGGGGTGCTGTTTTCAACTTCCACATCTAGGAAAATATGCAGTACTTCTCTTTCTGTATCTGGTTTGTTTCACTAAACATAACCCCATCTGTTTTCCTGCAAATGATAGGATTTCATTCTTCTCCATAGATGAGTAATACTCGTGGTTTGTATTTAGCACACTTTCTCTGTTCATCTGTTGATGGCCACTTAGGCTGATTCCATACCTCAGCTACTGTAAATAGTGTCCCAATAAACTTCCCTTGATTTGTAAAATACCCAAGTCCTGCCATCTTGTCCTTCGTCTCTGTGTATACTTTTATGTGCTAAACCTTTGAAATTTCAGCTTTGTTTATATTACAACATAGTCTCATATATGACTGAATCTAAAAAGTAGACAATGGGATATATTTAAGACCTGCAGCCGCGCATGGTGGCGCACGCCTGTAATCCCAGCACTTGGGAGGCTGAGGCAGGAGGATCTTTGCGAGTTGAAGACCAGCCAGGGCTACAAAGTGAGCTCAAGGCCAGCCTGAACTGCACAGCGAGACCCTGTCTGAAAAAGACAAAAAAAAAAACTTGCAAGACATTATCATTTGTTGAGGTGAGACAGTGGACTATAAACCTGTTGTAAAGTACTGAGCAGAAAAGTTTCAAATCATGAGGAATTCTGCAGGCGGCCACAAGGTAATAATGTCTGACGTGATGTAAGATTTGTGGGGTTACCTTTGAAATTTCATTTGTCTATATACTTCCATGGCTCCTTGCAAGATTCAGAAATACATGGATCCTCCTGACATTCCAAACGTATCATAACCTCTAACTATGGAACAAATAAACCTCACAGTGATGTAGATTTGTTACAAAAGGCATTATCCAGACTCCTGGGAACCCAAACATATCCTACAAGACCTGGCACGTAACATACCGAACTGTTGTGGTTAATATATAGGGTATTAGGTGAATAGTCACAGGATGATTATGAAGCCTGAATGTACAATGAGTAACTGACTTTTCTGGACTGCTTTTCAGAGTTTTTGTTACTTTGGAATTTTGTCCTGATGAAATTTCTCCAATTAAAATTCCCTGATTTCCAGGAAGAAAAAAAAAAAACCTCTAGTGAATATCTATAACTATTTCATACTCTTGCTTTTCCAGGAAGTCCTAGCCAGGCACAAAACTTCATTCCCCAGAATAAAGCATCTTGAATCTTGAAACTATATCCTAGAATGCAAGCAGTGTGGGTCTGTCCACCTGCCGACCTGTAAGGGGTGATGGACTCTCCCAACAGGTGCTATCTCTAACAGCATTTGAACACAGTAACGTTAAAAGCACACACTTAATTCTTTATCATTAATCTTACCACAAAGAAAAAAGTCAGGGGTCAACTAGTTAATCCCAGGGGTGGGAGGCGGGGGAGGGGCTGAAGGCCACCCAAAGCCAAACCCTTTCACATTTCTCCTTTCCTACCCTGGGGGAAGAAAGTAGAGACCGGTGCAAGTAAGATAAAATGGGAAACCTTTTTTTTTTTTTTCTTTTTTATTAGGAAAGCATGCAAAAAAACAACACAACTTGTGAGACCAAATACCCCTTCCCAGCCTGCACCAACGCAAAGCACTATGGGTGGCATGAAGGACTCACCAAACCAGAAACATGGGGGAGGTTAAGGAGAGGAAGCTTGGGATGGATGGACCGACATCCAACAACTGCTCCTTTGTCCCGCTCCTCAGCTCTCTCCCTTATTTCCTCTTAAGAGCAGTGAGCTCCTGCAATTTCGCACACGCCAATCACCCAGTACAACAAGGACTAGACTTCGCGTCCAGCAAGGCTGGACCAACAAGTAGTACTCTTTCCATCTCATGTAGGAGCGGGGAAACAGGCCCAGAGGAAGGCAGCTTGTGCTGCGCCGTTAGCAAGGCTGAGCGTGGGCAAGAGGACCTGCGAGCTCAGGGGCCTGAAGAGCGGTTCCAAGTCCACTCCACTCTGCAGCTACTCCGGCTGCCACCAGAGCTCCTAAGGAGACTCGCTTTCGAAAGACACAGAGGAGCGAGGGCTGTGTGTACGACGTGAGCGACTCTTCCTAACCCTGCGCGGCCCGAGGACAAACAGTTTAGACAAGAGGAGGGGTAACCGTGACGTGGGGATCCCAGGAAGACAGAGCGAGGCTGTGTAGAGGATGCACCTTGGCCGGAAGGAGTAAGGAAAGCTGCCCAGCACAGGAATGCTGCGCAGAGGCTTCTGCCACCTCCCGTAGAAACGCCCCTTTCCCGGGGAAGCACGCAGCCACGCTCACCAAGGGCCTCCCACACATCGCGAGACCCGGGCCGCTCGCCCCCGCCCCGTCTTTCTTACAAAGGCTTCAAAGAAATAAAGTGCTCTGTAGTTAACTGCCCCCCTTGCCCCTTACTTTAGCCGCACTGGACTTCAACAAACTCTTGTGCAGAGTCCCCTTCCAAGAAAGGAAAGGGGCGATGGGGAAAACACGGGAGAAGAAAGCGACAGCTCGGAGATCGTGAAGAAATGAAATGAAAGAGCATGAAGGAAAGCAGACGTCCAGGAGAGCAGGACACCTCCCGCCACACACTTCGGCCTGTAGAAAGGGAAAGTTTAGCCAAATAAAGAAGGGAAGGGAAACCATTCCTCCATCTCCTAACTCAAACTCAACGGTGAATAGTAAACGTACACTAGGGGCCAGTGGCAGTGAGTCAGGGCCATGCTTGCTAGAGGACAGATGTTGCCCTCACACCTTCTTCCCAGACCCCGGGGGCCCTCACTGACCCCATCTGTACATTATTTGTCCCTTTGCCCAATGTGTTTCACCTCTCAAAAGCTTCAAGCTCCACGATCTGGATTTCAGGAGAAGCACCTGCCTATTCATTTAAATACATGAAAGAGGGCCAGGGATATAGCTCAGCGGCACAGCGCCTGCCTGGCAAGGGCAAGGTCGTGAGTTCGAGTCCCGGTGCCAAAAAAAAAAAAAGAAAGGCTCCCTCCCCATGTCTGTGCCAGCTTGCTCCCCTCTCTGACCCCTAACACAGGTGTGATTCGGCATGACTGGTGAGGAGAGACGCCCACACCGTGTGATGGCCACGATGACACCCGGAGTGGCAATGGCTTCCTTTCTCTCTCCTGAGAATCTCAGAAAGTGGAGGAAGAAAGTAAGAGGAGAGGATGATCTGGGCAGCCAACCAAAGGAGGACAAAATAATATATGCAAGATGGAGAAAGGCAAAGGTGGGTGACTTGTAAATCCAAGAGCCACAGTTAGTTTCCAGAGAATTCTTTTTTAAAAGCCAAAATGGCTAAAATAAAACCATCTCCAAGAAGCTGAACTGATGCTGACTACCGTCCACTTGCGCTACCATAGAAGCAGAGCCTAACCCCGGCTCCTCAGCGCGAGCATGGGGTGGGAGGGGCCCATAGGTGCTCGAGCACGCTGGCCTCCGCGGCCGCTGCCGATGCTGCTCACCCCGCCCAGGCTGTAATCCCGCTAAGATCTCACTCTCACCCTCTACGGGAAGAAGGACTGCCAGAAGACGAAAGGATTGAAGGGACAAAGAAGAGCTCAGAGGGCAGAATTAGCACCATTGAGTAAAACCTGCAAAGTATCAGATCTCTTCTACTTGAAAACATGGTGTTCCCAGTCCCGGCCTGAAACAGACAGGACCAGAAAATGACCCAGTGCTGAGAGGTGGGGTTCGCGCCAAGTTTCTCAAAGAGAAAGGTGAACGGGGGCCTGCAACCTTTCCCTCCAGCTGTCGTGGCCTCATCTTCCAGCCTGATGATTTTAAATGAGCAAGGTGTACACTGGGTCCATGGTGTAGGGACAAGAGATGGAGGATAGTATGTAACCAAGAATAACAATAATAATAATAATATAATTAGAATAATAATAACAGAACGAGGGAAAAACAGCAAGGAAGAGAAAAGAATGAGGCAAGGAAGGGGAGTATCTTCGGCAGCATCTTGCGGTGGCTTCTCTGACGGAGAAAGAACAAAAAGAGAATATATATCTATGTACAGGCGGAGGGGTGGGCAGGCGGCTCTTCTCCCTGGCTAGACTTCGCCACCAGGCCCGGAGCTGAGGTCCACGCTTGCTCGTGACGCATTAAGTGATCAAGTCCCAGTCGAAGTCATCAGGGATCTCCTCACTGGCACCCGGGGGTGGGACTGGTGGCCGAGGGACCATGTGGTGCGCTACTGGGAAGGAAGAGTGAGGGAGACCTGGTGAGAAGCTGCCGATCAACCTAGACACAGCGCTCCACCTGAGTAGGCTCGTGAAGAAGGCTATGTGGAGCTACTGCCATACCAGCCTTGATGTACTTTTGCTATGGGCCACCACTTTTGGGGAGGGCTTCACAAAATCCGTAACAGTACACTGGGTCCCATGGCAATAAAATAATATTCTCCCCTTAAAAATTATACTTAAGAGAGCCGGGCACGGTGGCGCACGCCTGTAATCCCAGCACTTGGAAGGCTGAGGTAGGAGGATCGTTGTGAGTTCAAGACCAGCCTGGGCTACAAAGTGAGCGCAAGGCCAGCCTGAACTGCATAGCGAGACCCTGTTTCAAAAAGACCAAAAAAAAAAAAAAAAAAAAAAAAAATTAGAGTAGGACAGAGTAGCACACACTGGAAGGCTGAGGCAGGAGGCCTCCCAAGTTCACGCCTAGCCCGGGCAACTTAGAGAAACCCTGTCTCAAAATAAAAAATGAAAAGCTGGCGGTGCATGTCTGTAAACCTCAGCACTCAGGAAGTTGAGGCAGGAGGATAACTTTGAGTTCAAGGCCAGCCTGAACTACATAGCAAAACCTGTCTCAAAAACCCAATACTAAATAAATGAATAAAAAGTAAAAAAGAAATAAATTTGCAGAGGGGTACCGGGAATTGAACTCAAGACCTCATGCTTGCCAGGCAGGTGCTACCTCACTGAGCTAAATCCCTGGCCCCAAAAAATTTAAAAAGAGCTGGGGACGTAGCTCACTGTGAAGGGCCTGCATTCAATCTCCAGTACTCCAAATCAATCAATAAATAAATTCCACTGATGAAGACTATGGCATAGTGACAAAATACAAGAATGTAATGTTTTACGAAACAGAAGTACAGCAACATGTATTTACATTAGAAGGACAAAAAGTCAAATGCTATCGAAAAAAATGGAAAACGGGGCTGGGGGTTTAGCTCAGCGGCACACCGCCTGCCTGGCAAGCGCAAGGTTGTGAGTTCAATTCCCGGTTCCAAAACAAAAAAAAAAAAGAAGAAAATGGAAAACACTTGCGGTTAGATAGGATGATGATAGTGACTTTTCTAAATGTGTATATGTATGTTTATATGTATTTATTTTCTGTATTTTTGAGACAGAACTTCAGTATGCAGTTCAGGCTGGTACTGAATTCTTTTTGTAGCCCAGGCGAGCCTTGAACTCAGAGTATCCTCCGGCCTCAGCCTCCCAAGTACTGGGATTTCAGGTGTGCACCACCACGCCTGGCCATCTACATGCATTTTAATTATAAAGGCTCCATCAGTTTTTTATTATGACAATTCAGTGTTTCTTCTCCCGACCATGAAAGGCAGTTCAGCCCTGGGCTGGGCACGTAGCTCAGTGGCAGAGCACTGGCCTGGGTGCGTGAGGCCTGGGGCTCTAACCCCAGCACAAGAACAACAAAAAATGGTGGTTCAATCTCAAGCCCCTGACACTAGTGGCCAAGTGATAGGAATTCATTTTATTTGCCTGAGTAAGTGTATCTTCCATCTAGATTCAAAAGCTAGACAGACATAAATGGCCCACATGACCATGTTCAGCTTATATTTATGCTTTTACTTCCTTCCATTATTGCAATTACAATCTGCTTTTAAAGCAAATCTCGGGTTGGAGGTGTGGTATAGCACTTGCCTAGCATATGTGACGCCCTGGGTTCAAGTTGCAGCACCACCAAATGTGAATGAATGCATGAATGAATAAATGAACGAGAGAAACATGTAAGTCGGTGGTCAGCGGCCCACCCATACCTCCGGCCTTGGGAATCCTGACGGCTCACCCGTTCTGGCAGGGTCAGGCAAGAGGGCAGCCAGAGAAAAAGGCTGAGGTCAGGGGAGAGCAAATGACGCATCGGGGAAGCCAGCGCTGATTTAGTGGTGAAGTCCATCTCCTGGCTCTTACCTGGGCGACTGTAAGCTGCGGAGTCCTGGGTGGGGATTGGGTACATGGGTGATGGGCCCGGGTAGAGGTGGGGGGCTTGTGGGTGCCCGTAGGAGTTCACTGCCAAAGCAAGACAAGAGTCAGTGGGCAGCGGTCACCCGTTGGTACCCAATCGGGGAGGGACTGGGGTTTGTACACTTTCTCTCTCCAAGTTCCTTCTCCCTTCCCGGCCTCGTCCTAAAGCTCCTGCAGGCATACAGGAGTTCTGCAAATGCTACCAGCCTCACCGTGTAGGATAAAAAGGACGGACACCAGAATTATGAAACATCAAAACTACAACCGTGACAAATACAGATCGAGTCTCCTTTCACTGGTCTGAGACACTTGATAGGATCCAGGTAAGGGTTACAGAGACACAATTTGGACTGGGGCCTCTAACACATTTCCTCCTTTTTCCTTAAGTAATTCTGATGTCCCAGACCAAGGTCTACTTCTTTTGCATGTTTCAGGACAACTTGTCAGTCAATATAGCTAACAAATCAGTTCCAGAGCCAGGCATAGTGGTGCACACCTCTCATCCCAGCACTGGACGGCTGAGGCAGGAGGACTGCTGTAAGTTCGAGGCCAGCCTGGACTGCATAATGAGTTCAAGACCAGCCTGAACTACACAGCAAGACCCTGTCTCAAAAAACAGAACAGTCTCACAGCTCAGTTTGGGTAACTACACAAATGACTTCTCTCACATCTTCGGCTCCTCCCACCCCTCCTTCGTAGCACACCCCACCTCCTCGGGAGCCGCTTGGTGCTGTACCTTGGTTCATGGCTGGCTCCTGTTTGCCGCTGGTGAGGGGACAGGAGTCAGCGATCCGGGCAGGGGCTGCCGGTCGGTGGGAGCCCCCCTGTGGGGGGGTGTGACCCGTCTGAGTGAGGAAGTGGTTGAGGGAGTCACACAGATTGGCAATGTGATGCTGGTCAAGGGTCCAGTTCTTCTGCTCGGCCTGTCGCAGGCTCTCCATCAGTTCTACAACAGGTAGGGAGCAATGCTGAGCTCGAGGGGGTACCCTGGCCCTCGCCGACCACCTGTCTCTGCCCTCCCGCAGCGGAAGTCCACACCTCAGGTAATCTGTGCCTACTGCACAGAGCTACATCTGTCAGGGCTCCACAGGTTCCAACTCCCATTCTGGTCGTTCCTTCACAGATTCTTCCTACGACTTCCATCTTACTGATGAACAAAGCATCTTTCAAAGTGACTGGCTCAGTGAGCCATGGGCACACGGCCGGCATGCAGCGAGGGACTGAACCACAGAGCAGGGGTCCGGGCTCTGAGTCCCCAGAAAGCTTCCCTCTCCCAAAGACAAAACTGATAAGAATAAACCACTGCCACACCGCGAGTTAAGGCAACATTAATTTGAACTAATTGGAAAACTGTGACCGATATGACTCATCTTGTTTAATGAGGAGAGGAAATGTCGAAATCCTCAACCTCCGAGCTTGGGCGACCCAGGCCTACTTCCGCGGGGTTTTTCCGCTGAGCCCGTGTCCCTTACTGGTGTCCCTCTGGACACCATGCTCTCGGCTCTCACCTGAGAACTGTGACTGCTCGATGCTGGACCAGTTGAGCCGATTCACCATCTTGAAGCTCTCCTTTAAGGAGTCGATGTTGGAGCACCAGTCAGGAGGAAAGGCTGTGAGAGGGAGGCAGCCGTGAGTAAAGTGTCAGACAACCAACGCTCGGGCTGGCTGCGTGCCGGGGCTTGCACCCACACAGGCTGTCGGCTGAGACAGCTTCACACTCTCTCCTCGGACTGAAGGCTCCTACAGTTCTCTAGGCTTTAGTTGCAGCCCGGCTCACAGGAGAGGATGCTAACCCAACTCTAATTCATCCATGAGTACGGCGGGCGGTCAGGGGGACAAAGAGATCCTCCATCCCCAAACCTTCCACAACATACAGCTCTACTTCGACCCGCTGAGATGAGCTGGGCTGAGCTCCCAGGACAGGAGGCCAAAGACCCACCACGAACTTCCTACCCCGCTGTCTTCGGTACAGAGAGAACAAGGCTTGCTCACCCTCTGGTTTCCGCCACACTCACCGAAGCCAGGACTGTTGATGGGCGCCTGGCCGGGCGCCTGCTGCTGCTGCTGCTGCTGCTGCGGCTGCTGCTGGGGGGGCGGCGGCGGGGCGGGCTGCGAGTGTGCGTGGTGCTGATGAGCGTGGTAGGCGCCGTGCTGCAGCGGGGCCGCGTGCATGGCCATCACCGGGGGCGGCCCGTAGCCTTCAGCCCCCGCTGGCTTCCCCCCTGGTGGGGTACAGCTGTCAGGGCTTGGGGCGTGCAGGGGTGGGGCGGCCCCTACACTGGAGGGGCCCTGGGCCGGCGCCTGCTGCTGCGGCGGCTGCGACTGCTGGGCGGGAGGCGGCGGCTGCGGCGGCGGCTGCGGCGGAGGCTGCTGCTGGTACATGTAGTAGTTGTTAGAGGGCGGCAGGTCCCCCAAGAGAGACGAAAAGCCTGTGGGGCCGGGAGGAAGGAGACAAGGAAACAGCTCAGGCCAGGCAGGTCTCCCTCCGTGGGACTTTCTCTGGCTTGAGCGGGGAGACCCCGGTCGGAGCTGTAGGGTTAAAAGGGTAAGTGTTCCGGGGCTACCAGGATCCCAGGGCCCTCCCGGGAGAGCAGGCCGGACACCAGGTCACTGGAGGACCTCTGCCTTGCGGTGACCTCTGGACATCAATCTAAAGCACGCACCTTGCTAGACTATTTGTGAGGGATTTGAGTGGAGGCCTGGATCACAGTTTCAAAAGAAATCGGATAGCAGGTGAAAAGTAAATTATAAATAAAACAAAGCTGATCTGGGGGCATGGTTCAACAATGGTAGAGGGCTTGCCTGGCCAGCCCAAGGTCCTGGGGTCCATCCCCAGCACCAGCGAATACAGATCCACACAGAGGGGACAAGGAAGGAGAGCAAAGCCCTGAGCCTCCGTCCTCTCGTCTTCCCCACCTCCACGGCCCTCAGGGCTACCACTGTGGGATTCATTCACCGACAAACGCAGTCTGGGTGAGAAGCCAAGCAGGAAGGATTAATTTCTCAAGCAGACCAGACAGGGAAGACCTAGGGACCAAGGGTAAGGGCTTTCGAACACAGGTGAACTTAAATAAATACTTAGCTTTCGCTTCCTGAAATCTGAAATTACTTTGTGACAATCTGCCCATCTTCCCCACCTCCAATGAACTAATCGCCTGCGGATGCCTGGGATTAACTTCTCCAGCAATTGCTACAATCTTGGAATACTCTCTGGATATGGATCTCCTCAGATATAAAGAAGGAAATTCCTGACATCCCAGCACTCTGGAGGCTGAGGCAGGAGGATCATCACAAGCTCAAGGCCAACCTGGGCTCCAGAGTGAGTTCAAAGCCAGACTGAACTACATACAGTGAGACTCTGTCTCAAACACACACACAGGGCAATATGTTCGCCAAAAGTGGCTTCCAACCAATTTTTATCATTCTATTCAGCCACTGCTGCCCACAAGGGGCCAATGTACAGAATGAGAAGACCCAGAGCCTCATGGGCACTGGAACCCTGATCACTACCTCTCATTTCTTTTCTAAGAAGTATAGAAGTTGCATGGCTGGGTGTGGTGAGGCACACCTATCATCCCAACATTCCTGGAGGATGAGGCAGGAGGATCACAAACTGGAGCCCAGCCTGGGCAACTTAGTGACTTAGCAAGACCTCATCTCAAAATAAAAAATGGCCAAGGATGTAGGTCAGTGAGAAGACCCTGGGCTCAATACCCAATGCCACAATCAATCAATCAATCAGTAGTGCAGGAATTACAGAAAGCTGAACCATACAATCTCCTTGAAGTCATTTGCAAATGGGAATTACAGAAATCTGAAAATGGGTATTAGCTGTCCACATTAATTGCATAAAGAATGATAATGGCATGGTAGATAACTAAAGGAAAAGTATCTCATAGCAATGCATACTGGTGTAAATCTGTAATCTCACTACTTGGAAGGCTGAGGCAGGAGGGTCCCAAGTTTGAGGACAGCTTAGGCAACGTAGCCTTCTCTCAAAATTAAAAAAATATTTTTAAGGGCTAGGAGTATAGCTAAGTGGTACAGTGTTTGCCTAGCATAAGTGAGGTTCTAGGCTCAATCTCCAGCACTATAAGAAAAAAGAAAAAAAAACTGTATTTCTAGGTAAATGGTATAATGTTTGAGAACTGCATGAAATTATTTTAGTTCCCAAAAAATCTGGACAGTACATAAAACAACTTTTTTAAAATGTTAGTGACCATTAGGTTACAATAGAAACATGGAAGTTTATCACACTTTTTGCTCTACTTGAGGATCTGTTTGAAATTTTTCATAATAAAGAATAACACAAATAGGGGCTGGGGATTTAGCTCAGCAGCACAGCGCCTGCCTGGCAAGCGCAAGGTCGTGAGTTCGATTCCTGGTACCGGAAGAAAAACAAAAAACAAAACAAAACAAAGAATAACACAAATAGAAATACACTAAAAAAGAAAGTAAGTTGTTCTAACTTAACAGTAGTTCTTGGGCAGAGGGGACCACTGCTGTCCCCTAGTGGTCACCTTGTAAATGGTGCACCTGCAGCCGGGACACCTGTGAGCCTGGGCTAGGGGCGCAGCTCAGGGGTACCGAACTTTCCTGGTGTTAACACAGCCCTAGGTTTGCACCCCAGCCTTTGGCTGTGGATGGAGCGATCCTCAGCCTCACCTTCCAAAGCTAACAGGACCCAGTCGCCCCCTGAACCAGCTGTCCAACTCGTTTCAGTTCATGACATCCTTGGCCACTTTGGAAAATGAGACGTGAGGGAACAGTTTGTCACCACTAATTCAAAAATACAAGGATGGGCTGGACGCAGTGGCACACGACTGTCATCCCTGCACTCTGGGAGGCTGAGGCAGGAAGATCACAGGTTTGAGCCCGGATAGGGCAACTTGGAAACACCCTGGCTGGGGATCTAGCTCAGCGCAAAGGTCCCGGGTTCAATCCCCATACTGCAAAAACTCGCTGTAATACATAGGTGTGGGTGTCCCGGACCCGTCCCAACCCGCTCACCGTGCTGGGAGGAGGACTTCTCCAGCATGGACTTGTAGAGGTTGCGGAAGGACCAGCTCAGGTCCTGGAAGTTGATCTCCGAGTAGGAGAACTTGAAGTCGTGGTTGGCGCTGTAGAGGGGAGGCGGACCCTCCGTGCCCTCCCGCCCTGGAGGCCCCGCAGCCACCGCACCGTCCACGGACCCTGTGCCCTGCGGAAGCAAGAAAGCCCTGAGCCGCGGCCCAGCTGAGAAGCCACAGGGCCTCCCCGCGCCCGGCTCCGTCAGCACACCTCGCCCTCGCCCCGCTGCCCAGAGACGCCGGTCTGCTTTCCCTTCTCCTCCCCCTGCTCTGCTGCTCACGCACGTGCCCTTGGCCACCCTCTTCCCTCCGCAGCTTCCGGGCCTCCCCTCCACTCCACTCGCCGCTTTTTCCTGATGTTTCTCGAGTTCTGCTCTGCCTGCCCCCTCCCTGTACCTCTCTTCCTGTCCCTTTTCTTCTCCGGGCTTCCCACTCTTCCTTTCCCTCTCTTCCCCACTGATCCGCCTAACACACCACAGAAACCCGCCCCGCCCCCAGGGCCGGACCCCCTCACTCAGTGCGGCCGCTTCCCACCTGGCTGTAGCCGGCCACAGACCCGGGGCTCTGAAGCGGCCCCTGAGGGTTCCCCTCGGGAGGCAGCGAGGCTTCTGCGCCCCCCGGGACGCCTCCCCGAGGGCTCTTGCTGGCCTCCTGTTCCGGGGAGTCTTGGGAGAGCTGCAGGCGAGAAGGAAGAGAAATCCATGAGCCAGCGAGAAGCACCTTGCTGAGACCTGTGGCTTCCCCTCGCTGGTGTCCGCCTCTGCCCTGCAAAGGACTGGGTATCCTGGCAAGGACAGCTGGGAGGGGACTCACGTCATCATCTGGAGGGTGTCTCCTCTTCCGGGAAATGTCAGGGCAGGTGTCGATTGTCCAGTAAGAGCCCTGCAAAGAGCACCCAGCCCCGGTGAAAAGACAATCATCACTTAAGGGTTCCCATCTTTAGAAACACAGACCCGTAGCAGAATTTTCACATGATACTACAGCCACGTCAGGAAACAGTGGTAGAGTGCTTTGCTAGCATGTGTGAAGCCCTGGTCCATCCCCAGAATCACAGAATAAATAGGGAACCAGCGTGGTGGTGCACGCCTGTAATCCCAGCACTCAGGAGGCAGAGGCAGGAGGATCCTTGCAAGTTCGAGACCAACCTGGGCTACACAGTGAGCTCAAGGCCAGCCTGAACTGCATAACAAGACGCTGTCTCAAAAAGGCAAAAAAAAAAAAAGAAAAGAAAGAAAGAGAGCCAGACAGAGGGACGAGGAAAGGGCTGGACAATCACCCCAGATGCTGAGGGTTCTGGGCATCACCGGGGAGTACATTTGTCCTACAAGCACCAGCTGTGCCACACACACTCCTCTGCTCAAAGACAGCCCTGGTTATTCTGAAGACTTAGAAAAATAATCCTTCCTTCCGAGAGCTAAGTTTGTCCACAGCCAGCCCTTCCCTTCCCTTGTGACCTGAGGCAAAGCCCCTGAATTCACTTTCCTATCTGTCAAACAGGGAGAATGCTGCTCCATCCTTTTTTCCCTTGCAGTAAAATCCAGTTATTTTCCTACAGAAGTTTCCAGAAAGTTTATGAGGTTGAGCCGGGCATGGTGGTACACGCCTGTAATCCCAGCACTCGGGAGGCTGAGGCAGGAGGATCGTTGTGAGTTTGAGACCAGCCTGGGCTACAAAGTGAGCTCAAGGCCAGCCTGAACTGCACAGCGAGACACTGTCTCAAAAAGACCAAAAATAAAAAAGTTTATGAAGTCAACCTTTGACATCTAGAAAAAAGGGTGCCACAAAAGTAAAGGGGCCTCAAAGTAAAATTTACCATAAACATTTATATTTAAAAAAAAAAAAATCACAATCTCCCTTAGTCACTGAGTGGGGCCTACAAGCTTTACAACCACACTCTTCCCCTGAGGAAAAGTAAAGATGCTTTTCTAATTAGCATAATTTCCTCTTTGGGATAATTAAAGCAGTCGCGCTCTGGCCCTCCACTCTGCAGCTCTCTGCAGCTCTCCTTCCTGCTCCGGGGTCCCTACAGCCGCACCTCACCTTCCCGGGGTCATCCCGAGGTCTGGGCACCTTCCGGAAACACTTGTTGAGAGAAAGGTTGTGCCGAATGGAATTCTGGGGAAGCAGAGAAGCAAATCAGATGTGAGCACTGTGCAAACATTTGCAGCTATTCCAACATATTACACAATAAAGTTCAAGTACCAGGTACATCTAGCATCTCTTCCTATATAAACGGCAGGAATTACGTATCGGAAATCAAGGGCCATGGAGCCGGCCACGGCGGTGCACACCTGTAACCACAGCACTCTGGGAGCTGAGGCAAGAGGACTGTGCCCAGCCGGGGCCACTTAGCCACTCAGCAAGACCCTGACTCAAAAAAGGGCTGGGGATGTAGCTCAGTGTGAAGGCCTTGGGTTTCAACTTCCATCACAGAAAAAAAAACAAAAAAAAAAAAGAGAAAATCGGGACAATGGCACAAGAAACATGCAGAAATTTATGAGAGGTGATGGCTACACATGTGACTATCAGTGCTTTCGCAGAGCCGATGATACAGCTTCCCAACCCTGGCATCCAGTGACACCAGGGATATAAATGCCTCACAGCACCATCTGCTCGGGTCCTCGGCCTGCCCCATTCACAGTAAAAAGCCTTTGCAACTGTTTTCATGACTTATAAGAAAATACAAATCAGGAGTGATTGGGGCTGGGGGTTTAGCTCAGCGGCAGAGCACCTGCCCGGCAAGCGTGAGGTCGTGAGTTCGATTCCTGGTACAGGGGCGGGGGGAGTGACATAGGCACATATCACCTCCGTCTTCTCAGGGGCCCAGTGGATGGTCACCTCCGGAGGACAGAAATCGTGTTACACACAGTGCAGCTGGGGCTGGGGCTGAGGGACGGCAGGGAAGCCGGCTGCTTCCCACAGGCTGTGCCGCCTCCCCTGGCTTGTGCTCCACTGGTGATTGACACAGCAAGAAAATGACAATCAAGTCCCAGTGCCACTTGACAACTGACAAATGAGCAACTGCCCAAAAGACTACAAACATCAGCCTTCCTCCCTCCTGCTCTGCTTGGAAGAGAAGCCCCATATCGGGGATAGAGCTCAGTGGCACAAGCGCCTGCCTGGCAAGTGCAAGGTCCTGAGTTCGATTCCCAGTACCAAAAAAAAAGACTAAGCTACGGCTGCGTGACAGGAAGTCCCACCTTCCAGCCAATGCCTGCATTCTTGTAGTAGGGGAAGTTGTCGCAGATCCAGCGGTAGATCTCGCTCAGGGTCATCTTCTTGGCTGGAGACGAGTTGATGGCGTAGGTGATGAGGGTGGCATAGCTGTATCGTGGTTTGCCATCCTGGTGGACTGCAGCCTCGTCTTTGCTCAGGGTGGCGCTAGGATCTGTGGGTGAGCCCGGGGAACACTTGCGGCTGCCCCCCGGAGGCCCCGCCTGTGAAGCGCTCCCCAGCTTTTCAATGGTCGCCCGCAGGGTCAGCTGGGGGAGCCAGTCTATGGAGGTGAGGCTGCTCTCCAGGTCGGAAGCCATGGTACTTCTGGGCTCTGTGAAAGCCACAAAGTGGGGCAGAAAACAGATAAGCATTCCCTTTGGTTACTAGGGGCAAGAGCCACCCAAGTCCTGCCAGATGTAGTGGTGTACACCTGTAATCCCAGCACTCTGGGAGGCTGAGGCAGGAGGATCACAATCACAAGTTCCAGCCCAGCCTGGGCAACTTAGCAAGTCCTGTCTCAAAAAATAAAAAGGGCCAGAGCACGAGCTCAGTGCAGAGGCCTTAGGTTCAATCCCGAGTACTGAAGAGAAAGAGACAGAGAGAGAAAGGCCAATTCCTAACGTTTAAAGGAAGCAGTTTCTTCCCGCTATAATTCCCCAGAAAATCTCCTGTGACGATGTTCTCAACCAGTGTTCCAAGAATCCTCCAGCAGTTTTGGCAGCAGGCGGATCGCGTACTGCTACTTATGCCGGGTCTCAGGGCACAGCACAGCTTGAGGACTCTCCCCTTGTGCAGGACCAGAGAGCAAACCTCACAGCGCAACTGCCCTTACTGAGCAAAGCCCTGAAACTCAGTATTTTAAAACTGTGCTGGAATAAGTTTACAGGAGAAAACCCCACTTAGAGAGCAGTAAGTAGCTGAAGTGCCTTCGCCAACTACCTGACCGCTGTTACATTCCCTCTGCACGTGCACAGGTAGGCAGGACACACGTGCGCATACAAGACTCCAGTGGGAGTAAACACAAGCACACACGGAGGAAGCCCAGGCCAACACGTGTGAAGATGCTTCGGATCGGACACGCTAGGCCCACTCGGCCTTCTAATCCCACACACAAGACCCATCCAGGCGTAAACTACATACAACCACCCGGAAAGGACGATATCAAACTGATACACAAACAGCAGCGTACACACCCAACATCACAACGAGCAAGCGAGGAAGCACACGTTACCAACAGGCACAAAATCGTACACCAAGGAGCCAGCCCGCGCAGCACACAGCTGCCCTCACACCTTTAAGGCTCCCGCTCCCGCCCACAGACGCCGCACCAGGAAGGAGTCACAGGCAGGGTCCTCCCACCTCTCCCTGGCCCGGAGACACCCAGCTGTGCTACACCGGTGACAATCAGATAGCCCGGCTAAAAATAGCCTCAGCCGCTCTGGGGCTCCGTGCTGGCTCCCCTTCCTGCCCTCCTCCCTCCCTCCCTCCTTCCCAGTCAGGCACGCAGGCTCCTGCACCTCCCTGCGAACTCCGAGCTGCCGCCCACGCCTGAGGTCCGCACGCCCCGCCGCCAGCCGCACCGCCAGCAAGGTGCAGCCACAGTGCCATCTTGGTGGGGAGGCTTACAAACGGTGACAGCTGTATGACCGGGTCTGGAAGGGCTGGCGGGAGCCACTGGGGGGCCATCTGGCACTCACTTAGATCTGATGCCAGCAACCCCCGGAGCACTTGCTGCCTGACAGGTTTGTGCCTGCTCAGCTGCGGGATTCCAGCCAGCATTTCTTCCTCAGGCCCACCAGGGAGGGCACAGCACTGTCGCAGCCGGGGCAGACCGCTCGGCTTTGAGAATCCTGGACAGAAACACCTTCTGTCCGTAGCTGACGTCTAAATCCACAGCACACACGTGCGCGGACACAGACATCCGCGGACAGACTTTGCAAGCTCAGTCCCAGACGGCTCCTCTCGCCTTCCTTCCCGGCCAGAACACATTCTGCAGGCGCTAGGCTGTGCTTCTGTCCTTGACACTTACCCGCCCAACTACGGATCAGTGCACCGGCTCCGCTGTCCCCACCCCAGGACCCACGCATGCAATCTGCCTGTACACACTCGCCCCCAGCCCCGAGCTCCCAGGCAGCAGCACATCCTGAAGGGAACACCTCAGGACCCCAGCACCGGGCAGCAGGACACCCCACTTGGGTCACGGAGCTGCGGGCACGAGGAAACGGGCTGGGTTATAAATAGCAGTGTACAAGGTTTCCCCTTTAGCCTTCGCTCCTCTCCCCACTACCCTCCTTTTTATTCCACTACCTCCCCGGTGCTTGAAACCATGGAAACTTGGAAAATAATAGGGACACTTAATCATTCCAGGAAGCCACACACCTTCTAGGACTTCACTAAATCAAAACACCCCAGGCTCCGGGCTATCACAAGGAGCTTGGGCAGCAGCACAGTCCTACAGCGCGGCTTCCCCAGCCAAACAGTAACACAGCAACCAGCAGGCTGTCAAGACGGTCCTCTCCAGAAGGTGAGGCCCGGGTTGTATTTTCTTTCTTTCTCTCTCTCTTTTTTTCCTTCTCTGTGGAGGAGAGACAGGGTCTTGCTATGTTGCTCAGGCTGGCCTTGAACTCAAGGGATCATCTTGCCTCAGCCTCCTGAATAGCGGAGACCACAGGCGAGCGCCACCAGACTTGGCTCCTTCTTCCCTGCTATCTCCTGTGGAAGATCCCTAGGCAACGCCACCCTAAGAGCACAGATACCCTCAGCTGGTCTCTCCTCTGAAACCCTCATGGGAGTGAGTGAGGCGCACGCCAACCGCCCCAAGTCCCGAAGAGCGGGCATCCCGTCTTCACTACTTGTTCTGTGCCCTTCACTGCCCTGACCCCAGCACCGGTCAGGACACCAAAGCTAAATCTAACCTTTCTCCAGCACCCTCCAGGTCAGCCCTCCAGAGACAAGACTCAGCCTTCAGCGTGGATCCAATCTTACCGGCTACCCGAGCCCTGGAGCGGCTGGTCTTCCTTTCTCCTGGCCCGTCCTCCCTCAGCCGTCCCATTTCCTCAGCCCCGCACTTCCCCATTCTCAAGGAGCAGCTCAGCTCAGCGCAGAGAAGCACTTGCAGACTAAGGTTCCCCAGTTCTAGCTGCACTGCGATGCTCCGCTACACCCCTGCTCCCTCAGTTTCCCCCTTCAGTAAAAGAAACGCGGTCATGGCCCTGCCGAGGGAGGCTGCACCCCTGGCAGAAAGGGAATGGAGCTTAATGAGCTCGTGCCTGCCATGCATTCCACGCTCCCCAAAATAATGGCACGAGGCTAATCTCCGGGCTATTATTAGAAAGGCACCCGAGAGGTAGCTTGCGTCTCAGCCCAATCAGCCGAGTTCCCTGACCTCTCTCCCAGGTGGGCCTCGTGCCACCCGGCTTGTGCAGAACCCAAGTCAGAAACAACCACAGAACCTGGGGGAGGCAGCCAAAGGGCAGACCCTGCACATCCCGGCCTTCTAACACACACACAGTGCTGGGCAAGGCACAGAAACACAGCAGAGCACTGTGGGAAGGAAAGGCCAGCCCTGGATGAGACTTACAGACCCCAAATAATCCCCAGTTTCCTTCCCTCTCTATCTGAATGGCTCGTCCTCATCCTCTGGGCAGTGCCAAAGGCAGGTGTCACTTGGCACTAACTTCCTGCCCTCTGCCTAATGCCAAAACTAACAAGGCAGCTGTGAAGCATCCTCACCATCACCATCCCAGCCCCGCTACCCACTGGCTTCGCAAAAGCAGGCTGACACTTCACCCCCTCCGCGATTTCACTTGTCTACAAAATAAAGCCGGCAAATAGCTACAGGGACCTGTGAGGATTGTCTGGGCATCTGTAAGGCACTTAGGAAGCGCCGCCTATGGGTAGCTATTAATTTTGAATTGGGAAAAAGAGTAGCTACTGGGCTGTGGGTGTGGCTCAGTGGTACTGCGCGTTAGCACTCGTGCAAAGCCTTGGGTTCAAGAATTCCCAGTAAGGGAGAGAAAAATAAAGAATATTAGAAATTAAAACGTGGAAAACTGACAGACCTTAGAGGTAAGACGAGCAGCAGCAAGCCCGGAACAGTCTGTGTTGCAAGACCTGCAATGAGTTTGTGACAATTTTCAGGATGTCTGAATCGCCAACTTTTCCTCTGGAGACTGTATTACCCAGTAGTAAAGAATGCTAAGATCTGAGAAACCCAGGGATGAAGGAGTGGAGGAAGTATCATCTCCTCTCTCTCAGGGCAACTAGGTGGAGCGATAGGATGAGGTTGAGAAATCACAGCTAACCTCACTCAGAGGCTACCTGCTTCTAGTGGACTCCTCGCAGGCAAGGAGCAGGGAATGCTCAGGGGGCAGGGCCAGGCACTGCAGGATGGCGGAGCTGTTGCTGCAGCTTGCCCTAAGCCATCCAGAAGTTGCACTCCAGCATCTGGTAAAGTGCTTTTGTAAGAAAACAGGCTGTTGTTACGCCAGAAGCAATTCTTTTAAAAGTAGGGGAAGCAGTTCTGGACTTAGGAGCCCAGGGTATTTTTGAGATGAAAAGTATCAGTGACGAAGCCGTCTTGCCAGCCTTAGAAGAAGGAGTCCCAGCCGGAGACTGGACTGCCTGCTGCTTGGGATGAGGGCTTCCAGCAGCAAGGGAGGCCGTGCCTCCTGCCCCAGCCAGGCATCCTTGTACCACCTGCTCTGGGTCCTCGAAGAAACACAACTTGAGGGACTCAGAGGATGGTCTGACAAGCACAGATGTGCCCGTCTCCGAACATACACTCCTTCACTCAAAACACAGAGACGGAGCCACACTCGCCTCAGGTGAGGGGCAAACACACTTGTGCTACACCACTGCAGACGGACCTGCGAGCCTATCCCTGTCCCGTGTGCCCCTCCCTGCTAGCAGGCATCTACCAGGACCAAGGGAACGGACTTGGGGATCAGACAGTCCAGGTGCACAGAGTAGAAACACGCAGCTGTCCCGTGGGCTTGCTGCAGGGCATGGCACCCCGCACAAAGTCAAACTCCCTTCCTATCATGAGGCAGGGAAGCAGCCAACCAGCTGTGACCTCGGGCTGAAACGCAGACAGCCCAGTCAGATGGGGGCCTCCTGGGACCGGGAAGCTTCTTGGCACCATTTTTGCCTTTTCTGGAGACCCTGGACTTTGACGATTCCCTGTCTTAGGAAGGGAAATCTAAGTACAAGTTTCCAGGGACCCAGAACTGAACAAGAAAAGAGGAAAGGGGACAGTGAGATTAGTAGGGGCCTCTCCGGAAGGAAACTACTAAACCCCTTGGAAGACAAACTTCCTCGCAGTCACCTGATTCAGATGGAGGGAAGCAAGCAGCAAAGCTCCTGTTTTCTGTCCAGGATCTGGTTTTTCCTAAGGAGCTGACAGCAGGAGTGCAGGAACTGGGCAGACCCAGTATTAGGAGGAACTTCAACCCAGAGTGGGGCGAATGCCCCTGTCCACCCGCACCTGAAGACAGGTGGAGTTCACATTTTCAACTCTGGATCTTGTGGGGCAAGGAACACATGCAGTGGGGCAGGAGAAGCGGCCTCCTGGGGTCCAGGGTAGGCTATGGGGTCAGACTGCTCCCCTTGCTCGTCAAGGAGGCAGTAACCACAGCGGGTTGGAGAGGACCCCGCCGGTGGGCATCACGCTGATTTCTCTAGCGTGCCCTAGGACACCAATGCCACTACGATCTGGGTAAGGGCAGCTCTAGGCGAAAAGGCCCAAGGATGGCGGGCATGGTGGGAGTCCGGTGGGCTCTGCCCCGCCTCTTTACACAAGATGCCTGGCCTCAGGAACATGCAACTGTCGGCTCCCTCTGTCCTCGACACCCACTTCCCTAAGGACCTCTCGTGAACCGCATCCTGTAGTCCCCACACACTAGCACACCCATTTGTCAGTCTCTGCAGCAAGATGTGGGTTTGAATCCAGAAGCTGCTTCAGAACACATTTCCCAGAAGACCGTGCTCACTGCCGGCCCAGGACGGAAACCCGAGACCCGGCGCGTCAGCCCTGACACCCGCTGGAGGCCAAGGGGCCGTGGGAGAGGGGCACGGAAAGCACTAACCTGTCTCCACGCGTCCCCCCGCAAGGGGAGGAAGCTGCTGCGCCCCGGAGGGTGCGGCCGGAGGGAGTGCCCTCTTCAGAGGCAGGTGGCAGGTCTCATCCTCAGGGGCTCTTCCGGAACTCGGCGGAGCCTCCCAGGCTGGTGGGGGGCACTGGGTCCCCCGAGGCTGGCCCGCCGAGGGCGGAGGGGAGGGCGGCCCTACCTGGGGGAGGTGGCACGGCCCCCACACCCCGCCCGCCGCCCCCGGGAGGAGGGGAGGAGCCTCTCCGCGGCTGGAGTCGTCTCCTCCCCCCCAAGCCGGG